GAGTGGATCCGCAGTCGAGGCGGAAGTTCCAGCAACCGTTGAAGGATTTTAGAACCCGGCCAGCCGAGCGGAACGCCACTTTGGCCGGGGATGATCAATTCAATCGGACCTCCAATCGAGAATTGATCCGCGGAGATGGGAATCGACAAGACGCTGCAATTGGAGATGCTGTACCATTCTGCCACGACGCCGACAAATAGCAGACACAGACCTAAAGCATGTCGTTGCCATGCAAACAGTTTTGGCGTCATAATGGCGGCGAACAGCTATCCAAGCCTTCAAGTCAGCATCTCTGTGTGCATGTGTGCGTTTGCATGTGTTTATATATCCGGGTCAAATCTGGTTATAAGGAAACTGTTAAGCCAACACTCGTCATTTCGGTGTAATACAATTTCCCTGTACTGGATAAAAACAAAAAAACAATTTAATTCGAATCACTACTGAAGTTATTCTTTATTAGGGTATTCGTGTGTGTATGTGTGTGTGTTGTGTGTATGTGTACCTGCGTATATTTCTGGGCGACCAAGAGAGGCAGCGTAATGCTCTGGAAACTAATTATTTGTGTAGCCCATCGTGCTTCTCGCCTAACTTCGAGATATGCGGTAGATGTTATCACAAGAGAGGTTTGCCAGTGCAAAAAAGTGGAACATGACTTCACTAAACTGGCGTCAATGCGTTGAGCATCGAAATTTTTCAGTGGAAAGTGTTCAAATGATGCTTTCACATGTGGAGAAAGGCGAAAAAGTAACGGCGACTATCAAACAAATGGCCGAATTGTCTGAAAATATTGTCTCATTTTTTATCGATCTGCCTAGGACTTGAGCTATCCTTCCCTGAATTCGTGTCAGGCCAACTTGTGACACTGCATGTTTGGGGCTGCTTTGAGAATGCTGATGAGAGATCGGAACCGACTGAGGGTGTCTGTAGGACTGCGCCGGTACGAAGGTCGCGGGAGGAGTTTCAGATGTGCTGAATCTACAAATATTTGTCTCGGACTTTGGCAACAAATGAAAGTAAACTGAACAAGTACGCCTTCTACACACTAGGAACCGTCTGTGCATCATGAGGAATTTTCAGTTCGACCGGATTTCAACAGACTAGAAGAGTTTAATCAGCCCATGACTGATATTTGAGCTTGCCCACACTGCATCCAGTAGACCTCAATATGTCATTGAATTTGGTTTTGACATGCTCTCAAAAAGCCATTTTATTTCGACTGAACCATAGTTCCGACATTTAGTCACTCTTGGTTGCTTATGGCAAAGAAGAAGGATTGAGAGTTGAATTTTACTGCAATTATTTGCATTTGCTTCAAAAAGACACTGAATTTCGTGCATCTTTCCTTCACAAGTTATTCTCATCTAGGCTGGACACGACTGCTGTTTTGACCTCGCCTCAGTTTCATCATCGCTCTCGGCAAGATTCGTTATCAGATCGTCTGCATCGTGGTGATGTTACCATCCAACTCTAGTTCACGGCCATGGGTGCTAGAGTGTCATGTGGCAGATGTGTCATTCAGGGCAAGCCAGGCCTCGGCAAATTCACATTTCTAGCGAAAATGTCAATTAAATCAACGTTTTTGTCATTTTAATCGACGGCGTTACTTATTTTCGATATAAGTAGTTTCATGATTATCGGTAATTCTTTATTAAAAGCCTAGTCAGCCTAGGCGACTCAGGATCTAATAGTTGAATTATTATAGCTAGGGCGAGTAACTTAGTTTCAATGAATCTCCTGAGATAGCATTGTTGTGATGACTTTCATCTCGTATGAAGGTGCATGAAGAAAAGATTAATAGGTTGATCTCACCAGAAGACGACGGCTGAAACCTCTTTGTACTGCAGCCGTTAAGCTTTAATATGACGCTCAGGTTGACACAGTCCACGAGACATCCTCCCTCGCTTCGAGTGAAAATGGACTAAACTTTCGTCGATCATATAATTACTATTATATATATATATATATATATATAATTTAAGTAAGCAAGGAGATAAAAAGTGATAGTGAAGGTGTGATACGAGGTTATAGTAGAGGTGAATAGCCCAGAACAGAAGGAAAGATACCACAACTGTTTAGCACACGTTTGGTCAAAGGATCCGCTTCACTTGTCTCTTTGACGAATTGTAGTGTGATGCTAAGAATGGCAATAGTGACTGACGATGCCGACTACGATGATGGCAAAACGTATGTGAATGTGCCATGTCCACGGTCCGACTTTGGAAATGATGATGCATACAATGGACTCCGTACTGGGGGAGTTCCTCCAAGTATTCCTACCAATATGACCAAATTGCGAAAACAAGGTCAAACAACCTCTATACAACGAAAGGAGACTGCGACCACACAAAATGTCATACCATCTTGGTCTTTATACCTTTGATTGGCCTTGTGTTGAATCCCATTTAGGCATACGGAGCAAACTAATGGATTGAAAAAGTGTTCATCTGAACAATAAAGAGCAATATGCATAAATGATAAAGCATCTTTCGATCATGAATGAAGATCTTGAGCTTTCATAAATATGGCAGGAAAGTTAGGTAGTGTAGGGCATTTGATATGATTAATAAGATAAGTCGACTCTATCTACAGAGTCCTCCTAGTTGAAATACTTGCTCTCCGATTTCATCAAACTCTGCTCTTTCCCTGATTTTCGTGCGAAAAACGTTTTCCTTAAACAGAATTTAAAGCTGCAATATTCTTTCAGGTCCTTAGATTGGCCTATGAAGTATTCATATTCCGAACCTTGGATGCATATTAAAACACAATTCAGGTACCAAGTTTATCAAGGCAAAGGAAGTGACGATCTCAGATTGGGGAGATAATTTAAAAGCATTACTACGGATTAAGTGATTGCATCCCCAACTTGCACGAACAACATGCCGCATAATTGAGCATATGTGTTCTAGTCCCTAGGTGTTTCAATTAACTTAAATTATATAAAGTGTATTCACCCTATTTCACTAAAGGCGATAAAGGACTGTTAGTTGAATTATCCCAGTGATATGATTAGAGCTGAGGTTTCCATTGAATTTCACATAGTCTTCCGTTCCCAAAGAGTATTCTCATCCAGGGGATTGCAATTTTGAAGAGCTACTTATAAAGTAAACATATCATGGTAGTTGTTTGACCTTGTTTTCGCAACTTGGTCATATTGGCGGGAAGAACTAGAGGAATATACATTGCTAGGGGTCTATAGTATTCATGACAATTTCCAGAGTCGGACTGTGAACTTGGTACATTCCCAAACCTTTCACTTGCACGGTACTCGGCAACGTCCGTAAGCATTACCTGTCTTAGCATCATACTAAAACTCGTCAAGTCGATTTGTTGAACAATTGTAGGTTAACTAGTTGTGGTATCTCTCCTTCTATCCTTGGATATTCACCTATCTTATATCCTCGTATCACTTATTCACTATCACAATTTCTTATTTGCTTATATTAATGTGTATAAGCAGAGCTTCGATTGTTATAGCAAAAATACGTTTACACCATCGACAATCCCACCAAAGAATGTGATATAGAAAAAGCCTGGCCGTCCGTGAAATTCATACCTGCCCTATGACCCAAGGGCACTCGTGGCAATGTGGCCGATTGGTTAACGTGGCAAGCTCATATGCTCCACTGTCACGGTCCGACTCCCGCTGGGGGTGCTGATAAGACCGATGCGAGGTCGAAACTGCAGTCCACTGGTGCCTGGGTGAGAACAACTTTTGGGAAACAAGGCTATGTGAAATTCAGTGGGAACGTCAGTTCGACTCATAGCATTGTGGGTAACCACTACGTTTGTGGTTTGAAACACAAGAGAATAGGACATAGCAAGTCATAGACTTGGTATTACGGATAGAAAAAGGATAGATACGGTGGAGGCTATAGCTAGTTGACTAAAAATAGGCGTGCTTCATGAATCACGTCTACCATCAAACACGTCTATTGTTAGCCAACTAGCTCTATTCTCCACCCGATCTATCCTGTTTCTATCCATAATAACATGTCTATCACTTACTATTTCCTAGTCTCTTGTGTGCCAACCCACAAGTGTTGTGGTTCTACTTGTTTTGATTAGGTTCACTGAAGACGTTTTCTCTTTGCTTCTGATTGTTCCTTTCTGGTACCCATGAGATTTCTTTTCCTAAAATTAAAGATGTTACCTTGATCCAATCGTCTTCCTCTTTTTGATCTTACTTTTACCTGGCCTTCTCCGACTTTGCTTAGGCAATATGCAAAGATTTCGCTGATTCTGCCTTCTTCAAGTTTCCTATT